CTTGCTTTGGCATTTTGTCAATTCATTACAGTTTAATTGGTCTGAATATCTGCCTTTAGCTGAACTTGCTGTTAACTCTTGATGGCATAGTGCCCTTCATTCCACACCTCTTTAAGCAGCTCTAGGCTATCATCATACATTTTTCTCACTTTGCAGCCTTCTTCTGGTGTACCGGCAGTAGACCTACAAGTAAAAGACATCCTACTACACTGGAGAAAGGTCCACCTACTTCTACAAAAGGCAGCAGGCAAATATAAACACTACTCTGATAAATGAAGGCGCCATATACCTCCATCTGCAGTGAAAGACAAAGTATGGCTGTCTGCCAAATATGTTAAACTGAAGCAACCTTCTTCCAAGTTGGGCCCATGATTTATTAGTCCCTACAGGATAATTTCTCGTCTTGGGCCAGTCTCTTGCAGCCTGAAATTGCCGCCTTCTCTTCGGATACACCCAGTTTTTCACTTTGCTCTTCTCAAAAAGGCTGTCTTTAACCAGTACTCAAGACCTCAGCAACTAAGTCAACCTGTTCTCGTGGATGGGCAGCATGAGTCTTAGGTATCTAAAATCCTGGATTCAAGAAGGAGGGGAGACATGTACAGTACCTAGTGCACTGGAAGGGATACCCTGTGACTGACAGATCTTTGGTTCCCGCAAAAGATCTACATGCTCCTGCCCTCATTCAGGACTTTCATGTCACCTTTCTCACAAAGCCTCAAGCGTTCCACGGGGGGAGGGGCTGTCACGTACTTGGGATTAAACTTGAGTACTTCTGCCTTTGAGCTGTGGCTCTGTTTGCTCTGCCACTGGGGAACCTGAGTCTTGCTGTATACGCCTTGCATAGTCCCTCTGCTCCTAGTACTCTCTAGTCCCCAGCTGCAATCAAGTCACAATCAGATCAGCTTAATTTGCAGGACTTCCTATGGCCTGTGTCCATTTGTTGGATCTGCTTCCCTGAGTGTGTGCTATACTGCTGAGCTCAGAGGTATACTTAATACAAGGCAAACAAGGCATTTGCCTAGGGTGGCATTTTTCAGGGGAGCATCATCACCCTCCTGGAAGAAGGTTGGAAGAAGGGACACATGCAGCTTGGAGATCATATGGGATCTGAGAGAGCCTGCGGGCTGCTTGACTCTCGTTCCCGAGGATGACCAGAGCTGTGAAGGTGTCTTTCTCTCTCTTGCTGGGAGGGGAGTGGCTGGTGTATGGGGGTGATGGTAGTTTAAGGCTCTCTCGGGTAGGGGGGCAGGGGTGTTGTTGGTCAATGTCAGGCTCTCTCCAGGGGGGGGGCAAACTTTGTGTTGCCTAGGACAGCACAAAACCTAAATACACCACTGGCTACTGAACATCTGGACTTTGGCCTCTGCCTGATTATTAGATTACTCTCTTTGCCTGACAATTCTACATTATACTGCTGAACTTATGGACTTTGACCTCTGACTGATTCCTGGATTACTCTCTTTGCCTGATGATTCTATATTACTCTGCCAGTCTGTGTATGACACTGCCTGCCTCTGATCACGCTTCTGGATTCTGACTGTGTACCTTGCTGTCAAGATTTGTTGCTGATCCAGCTTGCCTGACTACGCAAATTCCTTAACCCCCAGCAAAAGTTTCACTCTTGACTAAACCTTTTACAGGTAGCTTACACACAGACTGCAATAAAAACCTAATAGGTGTTCTAATACCTCTCCTCCACCCTATCCAAAACTTAAAAAAAAATGTTTTTCCTTTAGTTATACTTTAAGTAAATACAAAATATCTTTATAAATGCTAAATATTGAAAGAAAATAGTGTAAAAAAATCACACACATATATATAAATATCCTTCTTCCACCAATAAAAAGACAACTTTGTAGAAGGGTATTTATATACTGTATGTGTGTGATTTTTTAGACTATTTTCATTCAATATTTGACATTTTTTTTATATTTTGTATTTACTTAATTTAATATACACTCACCAGCCACTTTATTAAGAACAGCTTGCTAGTGTCAAGAAAATATACCCACACCATTACAGCACCACCACCAGCCTGAACTGTTGATACAAGGCAGGATGGATCCATGCTTTCATGTTGTTTATAGCAATATGAAAGCAACCCTACCATGTGAACATTGCAGCAACCAGTCTGCCCATTCTCCTCTGAACTTTGACATAAACAAGGCATTTTCGTCCACACAAATGCTACTCACTGGATATTTTCTCTTTTTCGGACCATTCTCTGTAAACCCTAGAGATGGTTGTGCGTTAAAATCTCAGTAGACCAGCAGTTTTTGAAATACTTAGACCAGCCCATCTGGCATTAACAACCATGCCACTTTCAAAGTCACTTAAATCCCCATTCTTCCCCCCCATTTTGATGCTCGGTTTGAACTTAAGCAAGTGATTTTCACCACGGTTACATGCTAAATGCATTGAGTTACTTGTGATTGGCTGATTAACAGCTTGTGTTACCAAGCAATTGACCAGTTGTACCGAATAAAATGGCCAGTGAGTGTAGTTCTTTTTGATACACCACATGTGTCCTGTGAAAGCAGCTTCCCTTTGACTAATATTCTAGTCACCTTTTTTTCTTTTTTACTATTACATATTCTGCAGGGATCTCACTAACTTAGTGAGTTGGCATATTTCTACGGATTAAACTATTTTACCTTTTTATTAGCAATAAAAACAGTGGATGGCTTCCTTTCATGCCATCCATTGTATACAAGGGCTTCTAATTCTTCTCCACTGTATCCATTCCACTGAATATCGCATAAGATAAAATACCACATGGTTTCATGAGATAACTACTGAGATTTTGATAAATACTACATGCCTTATTTTAATAACGTATTTTGTGAATTGCAAAAAACATTTTGAAAAACGCTATGAGGTATTTTACCACAAATTTTAAAGAAGAAAATACTGCTTTGTGAATGGAGCCCACAGTCACATCTCTGGTTCCCCTCTGTACCCTTTGGTTTTTTTTCTATCAGCCTCTACATCTCTACAGAACACACTAGTGACATAGTGCCTTCCCTCCTATTCACTTCAGCACCCTGAAAATGTTTGGGTAAGGTGTGTAACTGACATCCACACATGTTCACTACAAGGGAAGGAGTCAAAAGGCCTTTGTTAGGATTAGAGAGATGATTATTGAGAATGGCGCAGGTAGGGACACAGCTAAACTACAACTTAATCATACATATAAATGTGCAGTGAGGGTGTACGATTATACTAAAAAAGTCCATAGGTTCGTAGATATCTGTGGCAGCTCCTCAGTGAGACTGAAGTAATCTCTGCAAAGTATAAAGCAAGCAGCAGGGGTCACCAACTAAGTGCAGTATATAGGAAAAGACTTTATTAAAAAATCACAAGTGGCAACTGATAAGATGCATAAGGGTAAGAGCATGTAATCCACCCAATGAGATTTGGTATTCAGCCTCACTGTGTCTTCAGGAGCCAGGAAGCAGATGCTCTGTAGGACATCATAAAACTAGAAATCTTGGAGCCACCCTGGGGCACATGGACTGTGCAGGAGTGAAAGAGACATCACTCCTGGGAGGGCTGTAGTCTGGGGAGCATGGCTAAATCTTTCTGGGAGTAACTGGTCCTTTTCCAAGTGGCTTGAAAAAGAAGTTCATGCACTCCAAGGAAGCTGCAGGACTGGGTTTGTTTCTGATGTTCTACACAGATCTTGACCACGGCATCTGCTTTCTGGATCCTGAAGACATACTGAAGCTGAACACCAAAGTGCATTGGATGAATTACATGCCCTTTTCCTTATGCACCTTGTGAGTTGCTACTTGTGTTTTTTAATCATTGTAATTTAATCTTTTCCTATGCACTTAGTTGGTGCCCCTACTGTTTCATTTGGTTTAGAACTACTTTTCTCCCCATAGAGGTTTATAGACCTTGCTGAATCAGGTAAAATGCAGGTCAACTGCACATGCAACTGTAGCGCTCACCCCCGAAAGAGCCAATGGAATTAATGGGCACTTCTGTCCTTACTTCAGTGATGAACCATATATATTGGTTCCAAAGCACACCAGTACACCTTGTGGGAAATTTTATAACCCTTTCAATACTGGGCACATTTACTCCCTTCCTGCCCAGGCCAAATTTCAGGTTTCAGCACTCTTACACTTTGAATGGCAATTGTGACAATTGTGCGCGTAATGCAACACTGTACACAAACTAAAAACTTTATCATTTTGTTCACACAACTAGAGCTTTCTTTTGGTGATATATTTAATCACTGCTGGGGTTTTTATTTTTTTCTAAATTAACAAAAAAAGACTGAAAAGGTAAAAAAACCCACGTTTTTCTTTGTTTCTGTTATAAACGTTTGCAAATAAATTATTGTTTTTCATAAATTTAGTCCAAGATGTATTCTGCTATATTTCTTTGGTGAATATAACCCAAATCAGTGTTTATTATTTAGTCTGTAGGAAAGACTACTTTGGGGAAGTGATCGGTATTTTTTTTTTTACACAATTTGATTGATTATAGTAAAGATTTTTTTGCTATAAGCAAACATTTAACTGAATGAAATCAATTCATTCAGGTTTTTTTTTTTGTGATTAGCTGTGATAGGCCACGGCGAATCACATGACACAGATGGGCTGTGATTGGCCCAGCCTCTGCATGTGATCGCTGTGGCCATTCACAGATAGACACACTTGTATACAATGGATGGCATGAAAGGAAGCCATCCATTGTATACAATTGTCATGTGACCTGCTGTGATTGGTCACAGCAGGTCACATGGTACTGGCAACGGGGCCGGTACACAGATCTGTCATCAGCCGTGTCCGAGGTACATGGTCGGTGATAGATCTTGCCACAACGCGGCCCTTTGGGCATGCGCATTCGGGGAAGGATTCCATATGGCGTCCTCCTGGAGGAACGAAGTGTTCGCCCGGCCGCCATTTGGCCATAGGCCGGGCAGCAACTGGTTAATAAGACAGGTAAAACGCTGCAAATAGACTGCAAATTTACTTGGAAAATAGCAGTTAACCTCCCTGGCGGTATTCCCGAGTGTAGCTCGGGGTAAAGTTTCAGCACCACAAGCGGTAACCCCAAGTTACACTCTGGAATACCTTGCAGCGTTGCTCCGGGATCTCTTCTTTACTTACCTTGTCCTGCGCTCCCACGATGTCCCCCGTGCAGTGTCCCCTGGTAATGTCCTCCGGCCGATGCCGGCATCTGTCTTCCAGGTTCCATTCCTTGCGACGTCAGGATGTATGGGGACGGAACTGGTGGGAAATTTTAAAATTTTAAAAGTGACATTCACTAAATTCACTAAAACCACATAGTAAAACATTACTGTATCAAACCATTTCACATACATTTTGTCCCTAGTGCTTTGTCATGTGCCCTGCCTGCATTTTTACTGTTCTGTCTGCCTTGAGAAACTGAGAAACGTGCATGGCGTCCAAAAAGCGTCCCTTTAGGTCAAAAGCGGTTTTAGACCAGCTAGAGAACAGCGATAGTAAATTAGAACAACTGGCAGAATTGAGTGATAGTGATTCGTGGGGAAATGCATCATCAGATACTGAAAACGATTTTGCGACTTTGCTCAGTGATGTGCAAACTTGGCGCTCTATTTCAAATTTCAGTGTTTATGGTTTGATTATATTATTGAATTAAATTTATTATGATTATTTATTAAATTATAATTTATGATTTCGTGTTTCAAATTTTAACATACTTGGAATGTTTACTAGACTCTTGTACGGACAGATTTCAGTGAGTTATTCCTAAAAATGACAGGCCTACAATAAAAAACTACATATTTCCATGCAAAAAAATGTACCGCTTTGAGAACAGAAATATGGACTTAAACAGACCGCTAGGGAGGCTACATGCACTAAATACACAAACCTTCTAGAGTTGGCACAATAGCATCAATAAACACAATATTAATGTATATACGTATATATACTGGTATAGCTATAGATCAGTATTAACCCCCTGCAACTACAGCAGCAATATGTCCCCAGCTACACTGACATCTCTTTAGGCTCAGTCCCAAATTCACTTGTATACTGTGGGATTGTAACACTGTGTGAGTCTATGTGTTGCACAAGCTTGTGTTAGTGAATCAATGGAGCGCTCTTAAGGACTGACATGCCACTGGTTAGCAGTTGCTCACCACATCCAAGAACAGTCTCCAGGGGGTTAACTCCTTGAAGGGATGATGAATGGGGCTCTCCCTCTATGGCTAGTGTTTTCTGTTGTCCATTGTCAGTGCTGCACAGCCTCTGAGGTGCCTTACCTGGGATGGTCACACGTCTCCTCTGCAATTTACAACACTCTGACCTCTCTCTCTGCGGTGGGAGATGTTGTTGCTATCTGTAACTGCTGTCGCTGGTTGCTGGTACTGGTGATTGCAGTTGCCGCTGACTTCAGTTGCTGTAGATAACTGTTGTCCTCAGCAACCACTGCCGATTTGGAAACAGTGTCAGTATACCTAAACAGTAGACGTTTCAGCGTAGCTCCCACATGTCCTCTGCCCAGGCACATGTGGCTCACCAACCCTCCTCCCTTCCCCCCTTCCTGGGCGCCCAGCTCTTTTTTTAGAGCCCAAAAAAAACTTGCTTCTTGCAAAGCACCCTGGTCACTGTAGTCCTGTGCAGCATAAGGTTACATTGTCTGCCTCTGTGATGCAACTCCCACAAACACTCCAGCACTGCTGAGAGCTGAGCCAATCATACCCTTTCTGACAACATGCAGTCTTAAAAGGGAAACAGTTCTTTAAAAGGGAAACAGCAATGGCCCCACTACACAACAAATTCTAAATGATCACCAAATCATCTCAAATTGATGTCAAAAGCATGCTGTCTTTACCCACCAACACAGCCTCCAAGGGTGGTCACATTTTAGAATTTTCTGTCAATTGAGGCAGGAATGGCCAAAAGTGAATATGTTATTTATCAACAGAAGTCCTGTTCTGATTTTATAGCTATACAGTATATACAATATACAGAGCGGCTGTGCGGAGCTCCACCCACACAGCCGCGTCACTCTTCCACAGAGTTCTGTAAATGAGTGCCTACAAGTCCTGGCAGTCTTTAGCGGCTGTCAGCTTGTAGTTTTCAATGAACTACCACGGCACTGTGGAGCACCGTGGTAGTTCTTTGAAGCTTCCTGTCAGAATATCTGCTTTCTTGTACATCCTGTACAGTAAGCAAATATTCTGACAGGTCTGCAGTAGATCTACTGATATACTGATCTCTGGTGCAATGCTTTCCAGGCTCCTGCAGACAAAAATAATAAATGCTAATTGTTTCACCTGAAAGAAAATGTGCATTTATTATTTTTGTCAAAAGGTGAACTTATCCTTTAAGTAATGGGTCAACTTTCACTGTATGTCTACTAAAAATGTCTCTGTTCTCTGGCAATCCTTAAGTATCATCACTTAGGTGTACAAATGATTTATTTAGATGTTGGGAACTCATCTAGACCAAGAGTATCAGGATTCATATTAAATTGTTTCACAAATTCTTTAGCATAGTAAATGCACAGAATTAATGCCATCAAATTGTATCTTAACTGTTGTAAAGAGGTGACACAAACTGCTTTTTGTCTCTATTTAAAGTAATGGTTCCATAAATATTAGCATATGAGCAGTGTGCAAAAAATATGTAATATACCAACATCCACAGCAAAGTGTATAACATCTGCTGTATTATGCTGCTTTATGACAGTACATTTATGGCAGCAGTTGATCTCCTGATACCGTGGACAGTAGAAAGAATAAACTGCAAATAGTGCAACACCCGGCAGCTTCATATGCTGACACACCTAAACCAAAGTGTTTCACCTCCACTACTGAAAGTGCACACTATATAATGCTCATTTTTAGTAGCCAACAATCCTATGACAGTATGTCCCATAAACTCTTGTGATATTTCACAAATATTTAAGCTTGGTATATATTGGTATATAGAAAGACTGCATTATGTTCATTCATGAGAACAAATAATTCACTGGAAAAATGTAGGCGGTACGATCTATAAAAAGCAAACAGTGCAAAGCTCAGATGGATCTCGTGGTAAAACACTAGAGCCTAAATGTATCACCTCCTCCAGCAAACAAGCCGTTTAAGCTGTATAGTTCGTATTCAGAACAGCCAACAAATCAGCAGCAGCATGCACTCAGTGTATCTCATATACTGTAAAAGGTATAGAGCCTGGCAGCCTCTCATGCATTTAGCACCAGCCAGAAGGGTGTGTTTGCGACTTCACAATCTTGCTTCCTTAAATATACATAAATAACTTTTTTCTTCCCATCTGTGATGCCCCCACGGTGCCCACATGTATTGCATTGCAGTCCACAAAGGGAATGAGAAAGTTTCCTCAATATTCCAGGTCAATGAATACTTCCTATCAAAAACACATCTTTGGTATATACCTAATCAAATTACTTATGGCTGAGGTGGTCCATGAATGCCCAGCCAGCACTAACAAAATTTACAGATAAGTTAGTAAAATAATTAACTTACCTATATTATAACATTGTGCAGTACCTTATATCAGAGCATGGTTGACTTTAAATTTAACCGTACTGATTCTTTCCCCTTACTATCTTGATACCAGTGCATTGGCTGAGCATACACTGAACTTCTATACACTATAGCTATACTCTCACCGGACACTACATTAGGTACACCTTGCTAGTGCCAAGAAAATATCCCCCACACCATTACACCACCACCAGCCTGAACCATTGATATAAGGCAGGATGGATCCATGCTTTCATGTTGTTTACACCAAATTCTGACCCTACCATCTGAATGTTGCAGCAACCAGTCTGCCCATTCTCCACTGACCTCTGACATCAACAAGACTTTTTCGTCCACACAAATGCTGCTCACTGGATATTTTCTCTTTCAGACCATTCTCTGTAAACCCTAGCGATAATTGTGCATGAAAATACCAGTAGATCAGCAATTTTTGAAATACTCAGACCAGACCGTCTGGCACCAACAACCATGCCATGTTTAAAGCTACTTAAATCCCCTTTCTTCCTCATTCTAATGCTCGGTTTGAACTTCAGCAAGTCAACTTAACCACGTCTACATGACTAAATGCTGCCATGGCTGATTATCAATTTGTGTTAACAAGTAATTGAGCAGGTGTACCTAATAAAGTGGCCGGTGAGTGTACATTATTTATCAATTTAAACAGAGAACTGTGTGATCTGCTTGTAAAAGTGGAAATTACTATACCCTATCAATCCCGTATGGTCAAATACAAACCATACAGTATTTTAGCAGCAGGTAAGAAAGGGGGAGGGGGAGAGAGAGAGAAGGGGGTAGGGATATATCTGTAATATACTTCCCTTTATAGAAAACAACTAATATTAATACTTTAATTCAGCCCCAGTGCCACCAAAGCTTTTGTATGGTACAGCTACCTGCATTCCTTTTTTATTATTAACCTGTTCCAGTCTCCTCCTCTTTTGGTTTCATGAAAACCATAAAGAAAAAAAGAATTGCAGACCCTCTTTATAAGCATTATATTGAAAACAACAAATAGTAAGCTACAAGCAATGTAAAATCTTGGGCCTTGGTATCAAAAAAAGTAATCATATATCCTATATTTTAACATCCTTTAATATTTTTGTACATAAAATATGTTACATTTACATAAAATAAGGCATGCTAGCTCCTTTTTTCACAATTTGCAAAATGTTTACTTTTGACATATTGCTCCCTTGGGCTATTTACTGGATTCCCAGTAGAATATAGTTACAAAATGTACAATTTGCAATTGACTGTTATACTCGCTGAATACCAGTCTGCCCTTCAAAGTTTTGGCCTTTCTATATGTTCATTATCAGATATAAAATTAGATTGCCTCACATCCGTCTCTAACATCGGCCAATGTTTTGATAATACTTTGAAAATTTCAAATTTTTTCAAATTATTTGTTTGAATATTATAAGTAAAAATCGACTTTGTTTTTTCATCCTTACCTTCTTTTCCATTATTATGCTCTGATTCTCCTTAAGCTCTTTTATATGCTTTTACTATAATACTTTCCTTGTTCCCTCTCTCCTTTTAAAAAAAAAAAAAAAATCCTCAATTTCCTAGCCTCTTCTTTAAAATCTGTCTGACCATGTGAGCCATCTGGACTTTGCACTCTTTCTGTTTTATGGAACATGCCACCTACATGGTGCCAGTGGATTATTTGTTGTCAGAAATGAATGTCAAACAGCCTAAATCTTCTATACACCAGTAGCAGTGATACACATTGCTGTAGATGTCTGTAAGATATACATTTTGACATGCTGCTTACATTTTGGATTTCAGGGAGTCACCATTTTAAATATGAATGTAAAACT